AGAATTTGCAAAGAAACTTGACGAAGGGCATAAGGCCACTTGTCCTTGGAGAGGAAACACATGTGCAGAAAGCTTGGTCCAGTTCCCTCCTACACCACCATCAGCCTTAATTGGTGGTTACAAGGATCGATGTGATGGATTACTTCAATTTCCTTCACTCCCCATTGTGGCTGCATCTGCAATTGAGCACATTAGGATCTCTCGAAGTTCAGAAATTGATCGCCTTCTAGCTCAGTCGCAGGCTTTCGGTGGCATGGAACCCATCTTTAGGTCAGAGATTATGTCAGGAACTGAAACCAACATAGAAGATGTCTTCCTTGTCTATTCTCATGTAAGAGTCTCATTTCTTTTAATTGCTACATATTATCACTCTACTATCGAGTTCTCAACAAATTAGAAAATTCTTTGCATTTTAGGCCCATAAGTTGATAAGCCTGTGTGGATGGGAGCCAAGATGGCTTCCAAATATTCAAGACTGTGAAGAACATTCTGCTCAATCAGCTAGGAGTGGGTACTCCATTGGTCCCACAAAATATCACACTTCTTTGCAAGATTTTGGCCATGGAGAAAACGTATTACCTGCTTCAAAGAAAAAAAATTCTAGTAAGAACAAAGCTGTGGGTACCAGGTCTACTAAAGGTGAATCTCGGTCACCCTTGTTGGATTGTAGCTTGTGTGGAGCCACTGTGAGAATCTGGGATTTCCTTACTGTTGTCCGCCCTGCTTGCTTTGCTCCAAATACGAATGATATCCCTGAGACAAGCAAGAAGATGGCATTGACACGTGGAGTAAGTGCTGCTAGTGGAATCAGTGGATGGGTTGCTGCTGATGGCATGGGGAAGGAGCAGACAGAGGACCTTGATGAAGCTGCAACAACTGAAGAGGGAAGGTCTTTGTCAAATATAGGAGTAGATCTGAATCTCACAATGGCTGGTGGATTATCCTCTTCACAGGTGAACATGGATGTGAGGCCGGAACAATTCCAAGATGTCCGTAAACGAAGACATCCAATTATTGGTCAACCTTCGAGCAGTGAAGTTGGTGGTCATGCAGCTTCATATGAATCGCGAGGCCCTAGTTCTCGCAAACGAAACTTAGAGGAAGGTGGAAGCACAGTTGATAGGCCACAGTTGCCAGTACAGCCGGCCGATAGTGTTGAAGGCACTGTAATAGACCGTGATGGAGATGAAGTAAATGATGGTAGTCAGTACTCAGCTGGCCCATCAAAGCGTACATGCCAGTCTGATGCCTTTGGCCCCCAGCTTACCTCATATGGCAAGGATTCATCAGGTGCTGGTCCTAGCCTCTCGCTTGGTTTTGAGATTGGCAGAGATGCTTCCAGAGATGATACCTTTGGACGAGGGCAGGAACAGCTAACTGGTATGCCATCTACTCGAGACTCGACACATGTTTCATCTGTTATTGCAATGGACACTGTTCACAGTGCAGATGACGATTCAATGGAAAGTGTTGAGAATCTCCCAGGAGACTTTGATGATGTTAATTTCCCTTCAACATCTATGTTAAGAAGTGCAGATCCAGTGGAAACTTCAGAATTGAACTACAGTAATCAAGCGCAACAGAGTACTTGTCCAGCTGTGGTCAGAAGTGCTGGTGAAATGGGTGTTAGTAGCACAAATGATGAAGAAGTAGTGAATGCAGATACTGCCACTGGCAATGTGAGGGATGGCCCTAGCGTCGGGATCAGTGGAGGAAGTATTGGAATGGGTGCTAGTCATGAAGCTGAAATCCATGGGACAGATGCTTCAGTGCACAGAGCAGATAGTGTCGCCGGTGATGTAGAAGCAGTTGCTGAAATTACGGAAAATCAGGGGCAAACAGGTGAATTTGCTCCAGACCCCGGACTAATGGGTGACTATGTTCCTGAAGAAGTGGACCGAGTTGATCCTAATGGTGATAGTCAAGATCTAACATCTCGTTCTGTGGGAAGGGCTGATAGTGGCTCAAAAATTGTTGGCTCAGCCAAAGCAGAATCCATTGAAAGTGGTGAAAGGACTCGTCACATGCAGCCTACACTTCCGAATAGTCCACACCCTTCTCTTTCTTGCAATGCTGTTGTATATTCTGCATATGAAGCATCCAAGGACGAAGTAACCCAAAATAATGCACCAGCTACTGATGATTGTGGATTCTTCGAGTCAGGCTATATGCTTGCGAACGGGACAGGTAGCTTTTCTACTTGAGTTGCAGGGTATTAATGTCTACTTTACTTTTAAAAGAACTGTTAATGCTCAGCACATCTTGGCTGTAACTTTACATTGGTTTAGGCACTGGTTTGGGTACTTTCTTGATGTTCCACAGTTGACGTTGACTTCACCTTTTTCCATTTTAAAAATCTTTCCTTTTATTGTTTTAATTATGTTTTTCTTCTTTTCTGCTTTTGCTGATTTGGTTTTTTATATTTTACCTTTCTGAAATGATGAAAATGAAAATGTTATGCAGGGCCTCCTATTGGAGAAAGCAACTATGACGAAGCTGTTGAATTTGATCCAATTAAACATCATAATTTTTTCTGTCCTTGGGTAAATGGAAATGTTGCTGCTGCTGGCTGCAGTAGTAGTGGCAGTTCCTCTTCCAATGCTGGTGCTATTGCTCTCTGTGGTTGGCAGCTGACGTTAGATGCTTTGGATTCTTTTCAGTCACTCGGACATGTTCCAGTCCAAACTGTTGAATCTGAATCAGCTGCATCTCTGTATAAGGTAATTGATTTTGCACATGATATTCTCAGCAGGACTTCTTTCTAGGCTTTGTGAAGGGGAGAAATTTTTGTTTGTCATTTCTAATATGATGTGAGTTATAATTTTGGTATTGTAAATTTGCTCGATATCTTTGTCACATGATATATGAGCTTGATTGACAGATGAAAAGAAGGCAATAGCATGGTTGCAGTATCATGTGATGTTCCTTGAAACTCCCACTGCCAAGTAATATAAGTTTTTGGGCATTGTACTCACAATACTCAATCCTCCTTTTCTTTGAATCTGTATGTAGAGTAAATCTCTTGTATGTTTCTCCGAGATGAATGTTCTTTTGATAAGTAATCTCTGAGAGGAATGTGGAGAAAATATCTTCACGTGGTCCTCTCTGACCATGGCATTTGTTGTCTGTTTGAAGAAACACCACTTTCAAATTTCTAGCTTCTGGAGTTCATTTCCTTTTGGCTGATTCTTTTTGGATCAATTCTTCATTTCCGAGGTCAAGTATCTGATAACAAATCTTTGCAGGATGATCATCGTGCAACAGGTAGGAAACTCTTGGCACGCCACTCTTTTAGCAAACGTCATGGGCAAAACTGATGGTGCATCTAGGCCCAAGACATAAAATTTGGTACATTATGTTGCTTGCATTCTTCTTTATAACATATTGACGACCCCGTTACTGTTTACCACATCATTTGGTGGATTTAGCTTACTAAAACTAATTGCTCCAGCAACGGCTCCTGTTTAATGGGTTGAAGTTGTAAGATGCAGCTATAACTGAGTTCAAACCGGTAACCTGTTTATGTATTCTAACATGGAGCCTGCCTCTCTTAGCGTATATAATCATAGTTCATTGGTTGACTGACAGTTTTCCATAATGAGAAAACCAATTGATTTAGTATATCTGAGTCGAGACTATCTATTTTTGGTTGCTAGGGCAACTTGTGAGGTGATTTTATGAGTTGGCACATCAACTATATAGCAACTAGATAGTGCTTTGAAAGGCTGTTGCCTTGTTCGTGTTACTTTTACCATTTTTGACTATTTTATCCTTCTTTTGATCAGGGCCTTTTCCAGAAATGTTGAATTATGCCAATGGTCAGCTTTGCAATATCTGGTCAATATACATCAAAACGGTCTGGAAAATAACTTTTCTTTTTCATGGTGGCTGATTGTCTCACTGAAGTTGCAGTTCTGTTAGCTGTTGTATACGTGGAGTTGTGAAGGATTTTCTAGCTATATTATGGATTTTCATGGATTTCCTTTCTCATTGCTTTTCTTAGTTTGAACACCTCTAATAATTCCTTGAAGGAAGGCTGAGTTATCATTATTGTAGCTCATCAGTTGAAAAAAAGAATTGGTCTTTTTCGTTTCAATGATTAAGTAGGATTGGCTTTTGAGATATCCTGAAATTTGAGACATTAAGGTTGGACAAGTTATTCTGTAAACTTATAAATGCCTCAAGCCCTATTTATATAAAGCATTTGGCCAACTTATTAGTCTCTCCTTAGCACTTGATATTGTGCTAAACTTATCCTCGGTGCCATTCTGATGTTTTTTTTTTTTTCTTTAAGATGCAGTTGGCTAGCCTACTTGGTCTTGATTGTTAGGAAATTCACAAGTATTTCTTGATTGATTTGATTCTTTGCATTAGAAGATCAGTTTCTTCAGGTGATTATTTCTTTGTCCCCATTTTTAAGCTAATCTAGAAAGATCTTTGCCCTCTTCTTTTCCTGCCTCAGATTTTTTGTGTTTGTGCGAAGGTTTTCTGTAAATAAAACTCTGATAACCTATTTTTTGTTGTTGTTTCTCTGTAGTTGTTTAAATTTCGACGAAAATAGAACACTTCTGTTATTTGCTGTAGCCAAAATTCTTTCTTCCCCCAGCAATCTTAAGTGATAGCTTGACTACTTTAACTAACCTTTATTTTTAATAACCCACACCTTGCTGCTTTCAACTAACCCGACGGCCTCCGTGAACGTAAATCTTCATCAGTATCTAGCCAAAGTCTCTCTTCCCAGCTGTTTCACAAATGTATTTGTGCTGCTAATCTTTTTTGATTTTCCTTTTCTCAACTGAAAATCTTCTAAATACCAAATCAATTCGGTGTCATTTCTAGAAAATAAAAGAAACACTTACTTTCTCCATCCCAATTTGTTTGATATTCAAAGATGAACAAAACTATAAATTTCAACTTTCTTATATCAAAATGAATAGATAACATTTCAAAATGTTAGTCAACGTTGAAGTGACTTGTTATAAAACTAAATGGCAGAAAATTGAGACAAGATAAGAGATGATTTTCATTCAAACTTGTGTGTACTTGAAACTTCATAGATCTACTTATACGCCTTCAAGCGCCAAGCAATAATATAGATAGTGAGATTTAACCCGACTGTTACAAGATTAATCATTTGGGAGTTATAGGAGTCAGGCGTGGATGTAGTGCTAAATTATTAAAGTTAAAATTCTAAATCCACCTTTGGATTACATGTGAGAGAGATTGGGAGTTACCTTATGGAGATCCATAAAAATGATACTCATTCTCAATGCCCAACTTCTCAGACCTCTTTCCCATGCTCAATGCTTTATCATTCTAATTTTTCTTCTTTTGTATTTCTTCCTTCCTTTCTCCACTTTCCACCAGCATATTGTCATCCTCCACATGGGCTTCCGCATAGCCAAATCTATGAGTAGAACTTTTTTGATAGCTATGAAATCAAACCTGTGTTTTAAAGTACAAATAATATTAGTTACATTTCATTATTTATGTAATACGTAAAATGATAGTTTTTCACTGAGACGTGCGTAACTTTAACTTACCCTTCATTTGTAACTATTATCTTTCTTCTCATGCTCCGTCCTTCTCCAATAAATAGTTTTACCGTAACTAACATGACTACATCTGGAAAGGAGGACAATAGAAGTAGTGATAAGTATGTAGGAGTAGTATTTATGCACGAAAATGATTTGTTTATTCCTATAAAGAGTTATCAAAGATAATGCCATCAGTTAACTTTTCCGCCTCTTGTAATAATGAAAAACCATTTGAAAAGTACAAGCAAATCAAGTGTATAAAGTTTCTGCTGATAAAATGAAAAGTACATTCGAAGGTTTTTTTTTTAATTTGTCGAAAATCATTTGCCAGACATCCTCTTAAAAAATACATCTCTTTTGTTTTCTTTAGTCAATATGTTATTTTTACCTTTCAAAATAAATAGTGGTGTAACTGAAGGTACATAAACTCTTAAATATTAGAAAGTGCCAAACCAAAAGCATACCAGAATGAATGGGAAATAATAGCGAGGTAAGTATGATCATACCTAATCTAGGATCAAGAATGAAAACATCTCGACTTTGTAGAATACCAAATGGTTTCACATTTCAAAAGATCCCATTCTCTTTTATCTCCTTTTGGTGACTCGTTAATGAAAAGGCCCTACTCGATTGTTTCAAGACAACTCCGTCCAAATAATTACAGAGTGAAACACAGACAATAGTGATTAAGGTTTTTTCTCATTTTAAAAATCCAAATAGTAGTTTTTCTCTACATATTTGAAAAGGCTGCGACTATTAGAAACAAAAAGCAGGAACCTTTAGTGAAATATTGTGATCAGAATGGTGGTGACTATTCGTGAATGAGTATGAACGTCTAGTTGGGGATTGTTTTTATAAGTAGGGTATTTATGTTATTTTAAGGGGTATTTAAGTAATTCCAACTTTTTAGATTAAGGGTTCCCACTTTTACAATAATAGAGATATAGATAGATAATTAAAAATTTGAAGTGACATGTAAAACCAAAAGGAAATTATTGTAAAAACAAGAGAATAGCACAGAAAATTGAGACAAGATAAGAGATGATTTTCATTCAAACTTGTGTGTACTTGAAACTTCACAGATGGCCTCTACTTATAGGCCTTCAACCACCACAAGCAATAATATAGAGAGTGAGATTTAACCCGACTGTTTCGAGATTAATCATTTGGGAGTTGTAGGAGTCGGGCACGGATGTAGTGCTAATATTATTAAAGTAAAAATTCTAAATCCACCTTTGGATTACATGTGAGGTTGTAACGACCCGATCGGTCGGTTTGAGTATTTACACTTCGCCCGGTAGTTTGAGGGTATGAGTAGCTCCATATGATGTATTATGACTTGTGTGAATCATCGGTTTTGGTTTTCGGTTATTCGGTTATTCGGAATTGATTTGGAAGAATGATTCTCAACTAGGAAGCTTTAAGGTGGAAGAGTTGACCAAGTTTGAATTTTGTGAATTTGACCTCAGAATGGAGTTTTGATTGTTCCGTTAGGTTCGGATGGTGATTTCGGACTCGGGCGTGTGCCTAGATTTGCATTTGGATTTTTCTATAAGGTTTCGGCGCAAATTGGCGAAAGTTGAAAATTTGAAGGTTTGGAAAGTTGATAAGTTTGACCGAGAGTTGACTTTGAGGATATCGGATTCGGATTGTGGTTTCGGGAATTGAAATAATTTCGTTATGTCATTTAGGACTTGTCTGCAAAATCTGGGTTAATTCCGGGTTGATTTGGTATGTATCGGCGCGAGTTTTGGAAGTTAAAAGTTCAAAGTTCCTAAAGTTCGATTTGAGGTGCGATTCGTCGTTTCGATGTTGTTAGATGAGATTTGAGGCCTCGAGTAGGTCCGTGTTATATTATGGGACTTGTTGGTATATTTGGACGGGGCCCCGAGTGGCCCCGGTGAGTTTCGTACGAGGTTCAGATCGTTTGGATCATTTTTGGCTTAAGTTGCTGGTGGCAGATCTGGTGTGATCGCACTTGCGGCTGGTTTGCGCAGGTGCGATGGTCGCAGAAGTGACAAAGGAGTCGCAAGAGAGGAAGTGTTGCTGGGAGCAGGAGTCCGCAGAAACGGAGGTTTATTCGTATCTGCGAAGGCGCAAATGTGGTAAGTTTGGGCGCAAAAGCGAATATCAGCGCAGGAGCGCAATTTGGACTTGCACCCTCGTGCGCGCAGCAGCGGAGTTTTTGCCGCAGGTGCGAAGGCAGGCCTTCAGTGCTTCTCCGCAGAAGCGAGATCTTGGTCGCAAAAGCGACGCTGCAGAAGCGGCTAAATGTCCGCAAAAGCAGAAATGGCTGGGCAGAAGCCTTTAAATCGAAGGTTTGGACTTTTGTTCATATTTTGAGATGTGGGACTCGGATTGAGGCGATTTTGGAGGCAAATTGATCACAAGGATTGGGGTAAGTGTTCTACACTCGGTTGTGATAATATTTAGATATTTTATCTTCATTTTTGGTAATTGGATCATGAGTAAAGAGAAATTGGGATTTTTGTCTAAAACTTCATATATCGAATTTTTAAGTTTTGGACGTCGATTCGAAGTCTATTTGAGTGAAACTACTATGGTTGGACTCGTAATTGAATGGGTTATCGGATTTTGTAAATTTTATCGGGTTACGAGGCGTGGGCCTATGTGTTACCTTTGGCCGATTTTGGGGTTTGATTAAGGATTCGACCTTTATCATTCAGAATTTGTTTCCTTGGGCTTTATTTAATGTAATTGAGTTGCTTTTGGCTAGTTTCGAGCCCATAGGAGGTCAGTACGCGTTTGGAGCATCGTTTGGCTTGCTCGATGTTGGATTTGGCTTGTTCGAGGTAAGTGACACTTCTAAATTTGGTGCTGAGGGTATGAAACCCCGAATTACGTGTTATGTGTTTGGTGTTGAGGTGATGCACATATTAGGTGACGGGCGTATGGGCGTGCACCGTGTGAATTGTGACTTCGTTATTCCTGTGGTACTGTGTAGTCACCTATTCTTATCTGTAACCATGAAATCTCTACGTACTAGAGCTATTGAGCTGTGATCCACGTTAGAAACATGTATAGGTTACATGCTTATTTTGTTGGGACCTACCGAAGTCATGTTGTTGTTGAATTATTTGTCTAGATTGCAATTTCATACTCAGTCATGTTCATTCATTTCATATCATATCCAGTCTCTGTTGCTATTATTGCCACATCGTATCATCATTTTGGGCTAGTTTCATGGCATCGTGAGTCCGAGAGACTGGAGAGATTGATGACTGAGTGAGACCAAGGGCCTGAGCTATGAGTGATATAAGTATATATGTGGATCGGGTTGCACGCCGCAACGAGCCTTATGGCTGTATATATGTGGATCGGGTTGTACGCCGCAACGGGTATCATTGATTTATGCCATGATTGGCTTGATATAGCGCTTGGGCTGAAGGATCCCCTCCGGAGTCTGCACACCCCCCAGTGAGCGCGATTGATTTATATTGAGGTATGGATCTTTTCTGAAGCATTTATTTTTGGGGATGGATCTTCCCCGGACTGGATCGACCTTATACAGTACTGAGTGACTGACTGGCAGTTGCTATGTATATATTCAGGATGGATCTTCCCTGGGCTGGATTGGCCATATACAATATTGAGGGATTGAGCGTGTCGAGTGATTGAGCATGATGAGTGGAAAGTGTGAGACAAAGAGATTGAGTACTTTGAGAGTGTGAGTACATGAGTTCATCTCTGAGATACATTGCATTGACATGCATATATGACATACAAGCATAAGATGCATTTTTCCTCATGCTGTACGATATCACGTCATTCATGACTTCTCACACATACTGACATATGGGCATAGTGATGTATTTTACACTGGCTATCTGGAAAGAAAATGAAACATCTTATTTATTGTTGAAAGGATATTTTGGAAAAAAATATTGTTTTTAAACTTAGTCATATTTTCGATGATTTTCGTAAAGGATTTGGGTTTTCAGTGATATACTTGAAAAGCAGAACTACTTATCGGGAAACTATGAATAAGCTGAGCATTTTATCTCTGAATTACCCATTTTATTACTTGCCTTACGTTGTTATGAACTGTTTTTGGCTATTGGTGTTGGACCTGACCTTTGTTCCAGCTCTTCACTACTTTCAACCTAAGGTTAGGTTTGTTACTTATTAAGTACATGAGGTCGGTTGTACCCATACTACACTTCTGCACCTTGCGTGCAGATTTTGGCTGCTGACGTTGCTGTGATCGACAGGAGCTGGATTTGAAGATGTACCTGCAGTTTGGTCATATCTGCCTCTTGTTCAAGGTAGCCTTTGATTCATAACCATCTGTTTATGTACATTTCGAACAGATGATGTATTTATTTTATACCAGCTTTGTACATTCTAATCTTAGAAGCTCATGATTTGTACTACCAGTCGTTGGGGAATGTTTAAGATTCAGATAATTTCTTTCATTTAACTGTCTTATTAATTTTATAGAAACTGGATAGGTTAATTGGCTTACCTAGCAAGTTGGGTTAGGTGCTATCACGACTAGTTGGATTTTGGTTGTGTGAGCACGTGCTTTTGGGCTTATAAGTCCGGTAGTATCCCTATTAGTGGATGTAATGACCAGACCGATCGTTTTGAACACTAGCGCGTCGTTCGAAGATTTGAGGCCATGAGTAGCTTCACTTCAGGTATTATGACTTGTACGTGTGGTCGGAATTAAATTTCGGGAAGTTCGGAGTTAATTTAGAAAGAAAATTCTCGTTTCAGAAGCTTTAAGTTGGAAAATTGACTAAGGTGTGATTTTTTGATTAAACACCATCGGAATCGACATTTGAAGGTTCCAACAGGTTCGTATGATGATTTTTGACTTAGGTGTATGTTTGGATCATGTTTTGGATGACTCGGGAGCATTTCGGCGCCTATTGTGGAAAGTTGATACTTTGGAAGAATTTCATGAATTTGGGTGGAAGTGTATTTCAATGTTATCGATGTCCTTTTGGGATTACGAGCCCGGGAATAGCTCCGTATGGTGATTCTGGTCTTAGGAGCGCGCCCGGATATGGATTTGGAGGTCCGTAGGTCATTTCGGGGTCATTTGGCGAAAGTTGGAAATTTGAAGGTTTTTGGGAAGTTTGACCGGGAGTGGACTTTTTGATATCCGGTTCGGATTCTGATTTCAAAAGTTGGATTAGGTCCGTAATGTGAAATGTGACTTGCGTGCAAAATTTGAGGTCAATCGGACTTGATTTGAGAGGTTTCGGGATCGAATGTAGAAGTTGGAATTTCTTAGTTTCATTAGGCTTGAATTTGTTTCATTCCGCGAAGAGACTCTCGCGTTCGCGAAGAAGGAAATCTCTGTTGTACAGGTCTGACTTCGGAGGCTCATATCTTGCAATCTATAAGGAATTTGGAGATGATCCAAAAAAAAAAGTTGTAACCCTTTGTGTCTAGTTTTCAAAAAGATAAACCATTTACCATTTGGATTTGTGTCCAAAAAGTTATGGCTGGTACACTACAAGCTGTCTGGGAAGATGAAGAAGAAATTTGTGTTGCACAGGGCTGACTTTGGCAGCTTATATCTCGAAATCTATAAGGAATTGGTAGATGACCAAAAGATTAAAATTGTATATCTTTGTGTCTAGTTTTCAGAAAGTTAAACCATTTATCATTTGGAGTTTCGTACAAAAAATTATAACCATTATACTAGATGCTATCTGAGAAAAGTTTGGAAATGGCTTTTGAGAATTTTGTTCATCGCGAACGCGAAGAAGAGTCGCCTGGGTAGTGTATAAGTTTGCAAAAACGGGTTTGGATCATTTCATCTCATT